CCTGATGATTTCCAATAATCAAAATCGTGTCCAGACAGAACGAGATGAGATAATCATACACAGACGAAGGAGAGAGGAGGGAGATTAGACAAAGGAGAGGAATAAAGTACAAGTCCCACTCCTATTTCGAGCTTCCTCCTCCATCACCACCGCAAGTAATCAATAGTCTGAACACATATCCGAAGTCCTACTACAATGTGCCACATGGCACGTCAATAAGTCCTCATCAGCGCACTTGGAGCAATGTCGACCTCAACATAATAAGGTACGTATCCACGATTACCCCACCGTCATGATCTCCTGCTGAGTGACGATGAATCAGCACAACAGTGCCGATCACATAGTCCCAGCCAATTAAAAAATAGAACACGTGGCAGAAGCCACGTCAGCAGCAACGCGTGGCATCTGCCACATCAGCATGCCTTGAAGACAATAGCCAGCCAGCCACCATGCCGAGCCAGCAGCGCGTCGCCGCAATCTCCCAAATGCCAGCAGAAAGCCAGCGTACACCAACGTCGCAGCATTGAGCTAGCGCCGCGTCGTCAACGGGTGAAGTCAGCATTGACGCAAGACTAAATGAATGTCAAAGCCAGGAAGTCAGCGCTTATGTAGCATTGACTCGGGGTTTGGACCCCGGATGCCGCATCCCTCAGCGGTTCAGATATCAATGCAAACGAGGGCCCAGATTGGTCTGAAACCGAATTCCCCGGCCTGGATGCTGTCTAGGTACCTGCGCACAACAAGTGAGTGTACCAACCAAGGGCCTGGGCGAGGAACCTTTGACTCTACAATTGACTTTGACCCTTGAATTTCCAGTGTGCAGCATTTGGTCACACAGCCAAACGCAGTAGACTCAGGCTTGGGCGTGTCTTGGTCACACAACGAAGTGCAGACCGACTCAGGTCTGCGTTGCCTGGGGCTGAGTTTCGGGCCCCAGGCAACTTCTGAACAAGGTTACTACATTCCTGCCGGCCCATTTTCGAGTTCCACCACCGAAATATTTAAGACTTTAACCCTCGTTCAGAAGCAGTGACAATATCAGGAGCAGTTTCAAGTAGTTCTTGTTTACTAAACCATCTGTCCTCAGATGGTGCCTGAGACTTAAAAGTACCTTGAATTGGTCGTCCACGTCCTTCCGTAGAGAAGTAACCATGCTCTATGATTCTGTCTACATCACATCTGCCTTCCATAGATGGCGGAATCATAGAGGGTATGTTTGGAAATTCATTCCCTTCTACATAGGGCAACAGTTTGGACGCGTGAAAGACAGGATATGTTTTGAGACGAGGGGGAATATCAATGCGATAAGACGGTCCCTCTGCATCTCCAATTACTTTGGAAACTTCCCAGGGTGCAAAATAGACAGGATGCAATTTCAGGGACACATCTTTCTCTAGTGAAAACTCTTTAGATTTTACCCAAACCAGATCACCCTCTTTGAATGTAGATGGTCGACAGTGCATGTTGGCTTGTTCAATCATCCGTAGTTGAGCTTTCCTTAGATTATCTTTAACTTTCTAGATGTCCTCCAAGAACAATCTTGCATATTCTCGGGTCCCTGGGGCAACCTAAGGAACTGGTCCCGGTTTAATACATCAATGGGACGTTTAGGTTTCCACCCTTTGTGAAGTGCATGCGAGGTTCGTCCAGTGGAAGTGTGGACACTGTTGTTATATGCACTCGCAATTTTGGGTAAGTTCTCGTCCCAATGAATCTGATCGGGTCTAACATACATACGCAAAAGTTGTTGGCACATACGGTTCATCTATTCAGTCTGGCCATTCGTTTCGGGATGGTTCCCTGACGACATGGTCAGCCTCGTGCCATAAGCTTCCATCAGCTTTTGCCATGGCAGACTAATGAACCTGACATCTCGATCAGACACAATGGATTTAGGGAACCCATACTCAATGACCCATTGCATCTGAAATTTCTGAATGACAAGTTCAGTATGCGCTTCTGTTGGTAAGGGAACAAACATAGCGTATTTAGAGAAACGATCCACAATTACAATCACGTGACTATTACCATTGCAACTTTTAACCAGACTCGTGAAGTCAATTGAGATAGACTCACCTGGTTCGCTTGGTATAGGTAATGGCTTGAGAAGTCCAAGGGGATTCTCATGCGACGGCTTGTTCCTATGACACACTAAACATGTACAAACATATGTTAGTACATCTTCTTTAAGTCCCTTCCATTCGAAACGTTCTCTAACTTCAGCATATGTTTTCTTGAAACCAAAATGACCCTCAGAATCGTGACATTCCCCAATCAACAAACTCTGAATCTCTTCCTTATGAGGAATACACAATCTTTATTCGGTTTGGTCAATCAAGAACAACAACCCATCAGTAAGTCTATAGTTGGGTAGTTGGGGCGGATCTCGTACAAGGATATCCATGATTGGTTTCCAAATAGGATCAGTAGCATATCCTTGGCGAATCTGATCTTTCAGGTCATTCCCAACATCCAAGTACGGGACAATTGCACCAAAGAAATCACTGCGTCGGGACAAAGCATCTGCAACCACATTAGACTTACCTTTGATAGTCTCGAGTTCAAAGTCAAAGGTGTCAATGAATGCAGACCATCTTACCAACTTGTTAGATAGTCTGGACTGTGTTTTTATCCGCTCTAGGGTTGAGTGGTCTGAGTACACAGTAAAGTGCCTCCATGTGTCCAACGCACATACTAAGGCATAGAGTTTTCTTTCACAGTGGAGTTGGCGACTTTGTCCCACAACCAGATAGTTTCTTTCTTTAACAATCTTCACATTGGTGCAACAATCAGTGAGAAGTTTCTGAACAACTTCCTATAATAACTAGCTAGACCAAGGCAAGATTGCAGTTCAGAAATAGACTTAGGTTGTGGCCAATCTCTAATTGCTGATATTTTTTTCTCTTCTGGCCTTAGACCTTCTTCGTTTACTATGTGTCCTAGGTATAATACTTCAGACTTAGCAAACTCGGATTTCTTTGAGTTGATCTTAAAGTTGCCCTCATGCAACTTCCCTAGCACCAGACGAATGTGCTTCTCATGATCCTCTAGTGTTTTACTATACACTAGAATATCATCGAGATAAACAATGACAAACTTATTCAACCATTGACGAAACAAGTCATTCATTGACCTTTGAAAAATGGCAGGGGTATTCGTTAATCCGAAGGGCATTACCACGAACTCATAGTGGCCATACCTGATCCAGAAAGTGGTCTTATGCTGATCGGAGGGTTCGACCTCGATCTGGTGATACCGAGATTTCAAGTCGATCTTGCTAAAGTACCTGCATCCCTGTAACTGGTCAAGCAAGTTGTCAATGCGAGGAAGTGATTCAACATCCTTAACAGTGACGACATTCAACCCTCTGTAGTCTATACAAAGACGTAGCTCACCTTCCTTCTTAGGTATTAACAAGACAGGAGCACCATAAAGAGAGGAGATAGGGCGAATCCATCCTTTTTCTGTTAAGTCTTGCAGTTGTTTTCTTAGTTCCTCAAATTCCCTAGCAAACACTCGTTAGATAGGGCCCTTGGGAATCTTACTACCACGAATAATCTCAATGGTGTGCTTAATTGCATGCTCAGTTATTCCTGTTGGTTCAGTTTGTAGATCTTTATACTCATCTAAGAGTTTTTCAATCAAGGGAGGATAGGAAGTAGAACATTCATCTGCCTTCTTTACCAAAACCATCATTACTTCTTGTTCCCATTTCTTCTTTGAAACCATTAATCGAAATGTTGGATAACTCATACAGCAGACGGAGAGACTAGAGTCAGAGCCAGACTTAAGAAACAATTTGATAGGTTTCAATTCAGCGTGTGCATCACGCAACTGCACAATATTTTCTTTGAACTCGATATCTGGGTTCGCTTCCTCGTGCTAGTCCTTTCCCAGAATCAAGTCAAAGGGTAAATTCTTTTTAACAAGGAAGGATACCTCGTGAAGAATCTTCTTCCCTTCCTTGGTGCGAAATCGACATTTGACACGAACAACGCATTGCGAGATAGTGATCGTGCGTCTGTCAGCGAGAATACACGTGATAGGTTTCAATTCAGAGTGTGCATCACGTAACTGCACAATCTTTTCTTTGAACTTGATATCTGGGTTGGCTTCCTCGTGCCAGTAAAGGGTAAATTCTTTTCGACAAGGAAGGATATCTCGTGAAGAATCTTCTTCCCTTCCTTGGTAGGAAATCGACATTTGGCACGATCAACACATTGCGAGATAGTGATCGTGCGTATGTCATCAATAGTACACGTGAAAGGTCGAGACAAATCTTTTACCTTCATTCCGAGATGCAACTTGCGAATTGCCTTCTCGGATATGTAGGATCGCGTTGATCCTGAGTCCAACAGTGCACCTCCACGTGCATGTGCAATCTCTACATCTGCGAGTAGTAGGTCACCCTTAGACTTCAATTTCTTAGCCCACGAGCTTTGTAATGCTAGCAACTCATTACCAAGCTCATCAAGAGAGTCGTCCAGAGAGATAGTACATAAGACAGGTTCGGGGTGTTCCAGACGATGGGCCGAAGAAGAACCATCCTCTACCATGTGAGTCAAAAGGTTAGAAGGGTTAGTAGGCATCTTACCTTCATCTTGGTCCAAACCCTTGACTAAGTATGAGCAGATGCTACTCCTACTGGCGGCTCACTTTTGGGTTACGGATAAGTGGGCACCATGCAATCACATGCCATGGGGTACCACACTTCAAACACTGTGCATTATTCATTCTTTCCTGCCACGTTTCTTGTGACATTCCCATCTTTTCCCATGGTTTCCCGACCGCAGTTCCGGGATGCTCAGGAAATGAGCGTGGTTTCTTCTTCTTCATTACTGGCGGTCGTGGTCCTCCCTTGTTGACCACGACAGCAGCGACTTCCCCCTTCCCGGAATCACTGCTGCTCGCCACACCCTCGGCCTCCAATGGCCACTTCTCCACAGTATCGTCATCAAAAGCGACGAGGGTGTGGTCCTAGCGCCAAAGTATCCGCTTACCTGCACCTGCATCACCACCAATCTTCACAACAGACGCATAAGAATTCTTCACCTGAGATATCATTTGCTCTCGTCGGAGAGCAAGGTACCGAAACTGCCTGTAGTTATACTTGCCTGACTTGATCTCTGCCACGAGTTGTCCACGAATGGGCTCGGGCAGAGCACGAGAATAAATATACAAGACTTGGTTATCTTGCAGGTTCAGTCCAGGAACCTGCAGCAACCGATCAACTTCCCTAGACAACAATTCCACAGAGGTCCAATGTTTCTGACCAATTGTGGTGAGCTGGTCAAAGGCCTTGTCGGTCGTCGTTTTGTCCAAAAACCGTTCCTTGATCTTTCCAAGGAACTGCTTGAGGTTCAAAGTTCCAGCCCACTCCCCAATGTCATCGAACCCCGTTGCGTTGGCTTCGGCCAGAACCCATTCCTTTGCTTTCCCCCCAAGACAAGAAGTAGAGAAAGCAACTTGAGACTCGGGTTCAACAGGGGCCGTACCGCAGTACGTCTGAATTTCGACAAGCAATCCACAACAATAAATTTTTGTCTTTCTTGTTGCAGAACGTGAAAGGCAATTTCATTTTGACTTTCTCCTTTCTTTTCGGTTTCTCAGGTTGTTGGGTGGTGTCCTTTTTCCCGTCCGGAGACTTCGACGGACTCGAAGGCTCCCCCTTTTTCTCTTTTGTTTTCTTTGTCTCTACCTTGACAGACTTTATTGCATCTCCCAACAATTTCTTCGGCTTCTCTTCCTTTCCTGTTTCAACTACCTCCGTCACATGTTGCTTTCCTTTGACCAGGTTCGTGATTGTTTGTAATCCCGCGCCCACATCATCGATCCGTGCAACAGTCTGGTCAATTTTAATCTCCAAGTGAGCGAGGTAAGTCACAAGTTGAGCCAAATATATTGCATGTTCTTCTCCTTCGGTCTGAATGACTGTCTGCCTAATTTCTTGAACTTTCTGCGCTTGCTGTTCATTTTCTTCTCTCCTTCGCCTCATTTCTTCCTGCTTTCTTTTTTCCTTCTCAAGTGCTTCTTCAAGTTGTTTGATATTTTCGTCCATGGCTTCTTCGAACACAACCCCTGCCCTTTCTTCTTTCTGATCAGCAATCTTGGAGAGCTGATCCGTAATATACTTATCAAGTGCCTGACGACACTTGATTAGTTCATCCTGAACCTGAATGACGTCGATGCCAGTCTCAGCCGATTCAATAGCATCATGTAATGCTCTTAAATCGAACTGGCTCCGGACATGAGCCTCAATCTCAGCACCGGCGCCATGAAGTTCAGACATCAGTTTGTCCAAACGGGCAATCAAGACTCGTTTCCACTCTTCCACTTGCTGCCTGGTTCGGGGGTCAGGAGTCTCCTCATCAATATCAAACATGAGTGAGACTGGATAGAAGAGAAAGGGAATAAAACGAGTAAGCTCCGACAATTTTAGAGAATGCCAGAGAAAAGACATCATGACGTGCGTCTGCTGCACAATAAATGTTAATGAATTCCACGGCCGCACTGATCTACAACATCAAGATTTCAAAGAACCAAAGAAAAAGAACAAATACAATTATTTATATTTCTAACTATTGATGTTCTTTGTCTGTCTATGTGATGACGTCCTAAACAAGAGTGTATACGTACCACTTCAGGCCACGTGATCAGATTCGACACACAAGTAAGTACGCACAACACCACAACACAACAAACGACAAGGTAAGTATGCCAACATCATAGGAAGTTGGTTTGATTAAATGGTAATGGCTACGGTTAGTTAATAGGTCCGTGGGTAGTCTCTTTCTATTTGTTATTTGCTTCCCTTTCTTTAAAGGTAGGTGTGGTCTTTCCTTTTGTTGTTAAGGATTGTTAAGGTTTTACAGGTCTGTGACATTGTTTTTTTTTTTTTTTTTTTTTTTTTTTTGTAGAGACTAGAATTTCTGGACAGCGGTCTGGTTTTGGCCAATTTTGTTCCTAGAATGGATTCTAGTCTACTACACAGAGAAAGAGGTCCTAAGGGTTCATAAGCTAAACTGGCTGATGCTGCCAGGATAACTCCGGGTCGAATTGTGCGGTCTCCGGCCTCAATTTTGCTTGGTTATAATGCTTTTGTTCCTTTTGGTAAAAAAAAATAAAAAAATAAAATGTATGCCAACATCAACAGCAAACAGTTTGTCAACAATCTCCTTCTTTATCCTCTGCGTCGTCCTGGTGTCCATGCGATGTTGCACCCCTCGTGACAGCTGGCACTACAGCTGTCTCGTCAGACATTCAATCAGTCGTGCCACCGTCGTCTTCGGAGTGCTTCTCTTACTTGGCAGACACCTGCCTGCCACGTGTCATCCTTGGAGTGCCAACATAGCAGTTCCTACCACGTCAGCACGGTAATGTCCAGTCAACCAATAGAGGGGATGCCACATCAGCAAATGTATGCTCTGTCCTTCACACGTGCCACTTCCACGTGTCTTATTGTGATACCGTCGTCGAACCAGCCAATTGAGACAATGCCACGTCAGCCAATGGAAACCGATGACGTGGAAATCAACACCTCAAGAAGACAGGTGTGATGACTTCTCCGCTGCCACGTCAGCATTCAGTCCTGACTTCCCCAAGGGCCACGTCAGCTTCTGTATCAGACCTGGTCGCGCATAAGCTGCTACTGCAGCGTGAGAATGCCACGTCAGCTATCACCAACAACCAGGTCTTCAGACGTGGCACATGATATGCCACGTCAGCAAGGGATTGTGATGCCATTTCACTATCGCGATCCAGGCTGGCGCATGGTAACTCTCGGTCGCGGTCCCTACTGCCACGTCAGCAGCCACGTTAGGATCTTCTCTCGCCAGTGAACTATCTACCACGTCAGCAACTCCAACGGTAACTTCTTGCCAAGTCATCACTACCTCATCACACGTGTGCATACCTACTTACCTGCGCGCCACCTGGCGCATGCGCACGTGTGACTGTCGTCGTCGTCAGGAGAACTGCTCTGATACGAAATTGCAATGAACCCAGATCGTGAAGACACTTGTCAACAATGCAAGCCCATAATATCAAGCTGCTCATGATTTCCAATAATCAAAATTGTGTCCAGACAAAACGAGATGAGATAATCATACACAGACGAAGGAGAGAGGAGGGAGATTAGATAAAGGAGAGGAATAAAGTACAAATCCCACTCCTGCTTCGGGCTCCCTCCTCGATCACCACCTCAAGTAATCAATAGTCTAAATGCCTATCCGAAGTCCTACTACAATGTGCCACGTGGCACGTCAATAAGTCCTCATCAGCGCACTTGGAGCAATGTCAACCTCAAGATAATAAGGTGCGTATCCACAATTACCCCACCGTCATGATCTCCTCCTGAGTGACGATGAATCAGAACAGCAGTGCCGATCACATAGTCCCAGCCAATTACATCAGCAGCAACGTGTGACAGCTGCCACGTCAGCATGCCTTGAAGACAATAGCCAGCCAGCCACCATGCCGAGCCAGCAGCGCGTCGCCGCAATCTCCCAAATGCCAGCACAAAGCCAGCGTACACCAGCGTCGCAGCATCGAGCCAGCGTCGCATCGTCAACGCGTGAAGTCAGCATTGACACAAGACTGAATGAATGTCAAAGCCAGGAAGTCAGCGCTTATGTAGCGTTGACTCGGGGTTTGAACCCCGGATGCTGCATCCCTCAGCCGTCCAGATCTCAATGCGAACGAGGGCCCAGATTGGTCTGAAACCGAATTCCCTCCGGCCTGGATGCTGTCTGGGTACCTGCGCACAACAAGTGAGTGTATCCAACCAAGGGCCTGGGCGCGGTACCTTTGACTCTACAGTTGACTTTGACCCTTGAATTTCCAGTGTGCAGTGTTTGGTCACACATCCAAACACAGCAGACTCAGGCCTGGGCGTGTCTTGGTCACACAGTCCAGTGCAGAGCGACTCAGGTCTGTGTTGCCTGGGGCTGAGTTCTGGGCCCCAGGCTACTTCTGAACAGGGTTACTACAAATGGTTTTTTGGGCATTTCTTGCTGTTGTGGTAGGTGAGCTGAGATAGGGTGTTTGTCATTGCAGTGACCCCTTTGAGTCAGGCCGGTGATGCCTGGCTCCCAGGGCGAACTGCGTAAGCATAGTGAGGGATGCCAGGCCCATTTCCTGGCTTGTATATACAAAAAAGGAATGATAATTCTCAAAAAAAAAAAAACCTGAGTACGGACGCCACTCGGCCGGGCGGGGCCGGGTGGGTCGCCCGAGCAAACCAGGTGGGCAAAAAAAACAGCCCAGAATTTTTTATTTTATTTTTTTGAAGGCGGGGTCCTCCTGTGCTCGGCGAGAGGACCCCGAATCTGCAATAAAATTCTAGTTTGGGGGGGGGGGGTTCTGGGTGTTGGGGACTCTGCATGTATATTGCCTGCTGTTTGCTGCATGCGTGAAACCAAGTACATACTGGGTTGGGGGCTCTGCATGTGGATATGGGAAGTAGGGAGGGATGGCGAGATGGCGAGGGAGGGAGGGAGTATGGCGAGATGTGGAGATGGGACGGACTATGGCGAGATGAGGGAGGGAGGGATGGCGAGATGGCGACCTACCAAACGATGGACAAGATCGCAGCGGCGACAGGGCGGTATGGTGTGATGGCGGGGTATGGCGGCGGGCTGTAGTGGCGGCCCTACAAGAAGAGGAAGAAGAAGAAGAAGAAGAAGAAGAAGAAGAAGAAGAAGAAGAAGAAGAAGAAGATGGCGGTGGCGGCTGGGCGTTATGTTGGCGGGGTATGGCGGCGGGCTGTGGCGACGGTCCTACAAGAAGAAGAAGAAGAAGAAGAAGAAGAAGAAGAGGAAGAAGAAGAAGAAAAAGATGATGATGATGAGAGGGGAGGGAGGAGGAGGAGGAGACAAGAGGCGGAGGAATGATCGGCGAAGAGGAAGAAGAAGAAGAAGAAGAAGAAGAGGATGACGAGCGGAGCAGCGTTTTATTTTTATTTTTATTTTTTTCTTGCCTGTCGTTTATCTCGCGACCTATCGCTAACGAATGTAAAAAGAGAAGAATGAAGAAGAAGAAGAAGAGGGTGATGGCGGGGTATGGCGGCGGGCTGTGGCAACGGTCGTACGAGAAGAAGAAGAAGAAGAAGAAGAAGAAGAAGAAGAAGAAGAAGAAGATGAAGACGAAGAAGAAGAAGATGGCGGCGCCAGGGCGGTATCGTATGGTGGCGGGCTGTGGCGGCGGTCCTACAAGAAGAAGAAGAAGAAGAAGAAGAAGAAGAAGAAGAAGAAGAAGAAGAAGAAGATGGCGGCGGCGGCAGGGCGGTATGGTATTGTGGCGGGGTATGGCGGCGG